AAAGCTTTAAGAGCCTAAATATGATTTGTGACACTGTCTTTTCAGGATGGCAGCGATCATGGAGGTAAGCATTGGAATGGACACTCCATCGGTTCTGAGTCCCTGAATATTCACAGGAACAGAGCTATCCTGCCATCCTGTGTTGGATATCAGCTGTGATCCTCCAGTAAACTCGCTTGTAATAAGCCTCTAAGATTCTTTTGGTTATTGATTGTTATAGCATAACCTAGCCTACTTCATACTGAAATTGGTATTAGTCATGAGGTGTCAAAAGAGGCAGTCTGACTACATGGCATTGACTTAAGGACAGGGTAGTGGAGAAATTGTTATTAGAGGCTGGAAGAGTAAGTTATGGGTGCAAAACATTTGGTAAAACTCTTGCCTGTGATAATTCGGAAGGCGGATCATATATCCAATGACTTTATAGTTCTAGGAAAAGAGGCTGGAAACAGAACATTCATAGTTTGGTTACTGTTGGCTGCATTTAACAGGGTACTGCAAGAAACTTATGAGCTTAACAAAGATTAGACTGACTTTCTTTCTTTTCTTCTGCAAGAAAAAAAGGAAATACAAGTAAAGTAATTCAGGGACTTTCAGGTATGGACCCTGAAATTTTTCATAACCCCAACCAATAAAACATACAAATGAAGAGGACTTTGAACAACAAAGACTGACTGAAAGTGCCCTAGGCAAGAATTAAATCAAAGGTTTAGCTGTCACAACCATTGTTTAAACCTCTGAGTGGCTTAAGGTGTTTTAGAACAAAGGTTCAGTTAAGGTTGTATGACCTGAAAATTCCTTTCAAAAAGACAAAATTGCTCAAGTAAGAGACAGGAAAGGTATGGCTCTCTCTGAAGATGAATTGACCCATATCTTCAGCAATTAATTAGAGAGAAAAAGAAGGAACAAAGCAAGGGGAAGAGAAAATAAACTAGCACGTTTAAGAAATATGTCTGAACTGTAGGTGTGGTTAGGGCACATGGATCTCACTTGAATCAAATTGATAAGAGCTTAAATATTTAATGTCAAAAAATTCGCTAATCTGGACTAAATGCCATCAATCATCTACAGGCAGGAACTGTCTAGTAAAGCTGTTGTCTCCCGAGACACATTATCTGATGTTTATTTCAGCTACAACCAAGGAGGGCAAAGGAGGAGAACACCCCCCACCAAGAGTGGAGTCACGGGCCACAGAGAACAATAAATCCTATCAGGATTGGGGCCCATCTAGAAGTGTTCCTCAACTCTAGGATGAGGAGTTCTCAAAAATATCTGCCCAGTGGGAGTTTGGGAAACACACAGGAAATACTTGTCTTTGAAAAATCCATTCTCTTTGTTTCCGAATGGAAATGCCTATTGAAATTTTCCTGTCCCCTTTCCACTACTGCATATTGCGGTGGGATAGGGAAATTTTCTTTTATGTTTCTAGATCATGAGGAGCCACATGTGGACCTGGTATAAAACTGTACCACCATAGATCATCAATTTTGAGCTTAATGCTAGTTATGGATTGGATTTTTGAATTGTCTCCTTTGGTGGGAAGAATTGACATGTATAACTTTTTGGCACAGGCTTTATAAACTAATTCATGATTTCTTACATTTTTCTCCCACTGCTGCCATAATTGGAGAAGCACCCATAAAATTAAGCTCCAGTTAACTTGTTCTTTAAGTGCTTTGGACTAAATTGTATCCCGCTTCTCCTCAAAACCATACATTGATACGCTAACCCCCCACTGTGACTATATTTGAAGAATGGAAAGAATTGAGGTTAAAGGAGGTCATAAGAGTGGGCTGTGGTGTGATAGGATTAGTGTCCTTAGGAGAGACAGCAGAGCACTCTCTCTCTCCACCACATGAAGGCATGGTGAAGAGGTGGTCATCTGTGAGCCAGAAAGAGAGCTCTCACCAGAACCAGACAGTGCTGGCACTGTGATCCCAGACTTTCAGCCTCCAGAAGTGTGAGAAAATGAGTTTCTGTTGTTCAAGCCACTTGGTCTGTGGTATTTTGTTATGGCAGCCTGAGCTGACTGACACTCAGAGTGAATACAATAAGCAAAACTTCCTGCTACCCCAAATTAGATCTATATTATAAGAGCGAAATAAAAAAAAATTAAAAAAAAAAAGAGTGAAACCTGTTGTGACAGGCCACTAAGATCTGTATCCAACTAAGTTTTTGACATCTCCATGTGGGTACCTCACAAGCAACTCAGAGCTAAAATATGCAAAGCTGAAACTTTGACTCCCCCCCATACCTTCTTATTCTTATTCTCATTTTTTCCTACATTTGTTAATAAGAGGACAGTCCACCTAGTGGCTCATAGTAGAAGCCTAGGAGCATTTTTAATTCCTTGTTCTCCCTCGCCAACCACATTAAATCCATTGGCAAGTTCTATTGAATCCACCTCCTAAAAATATCTTGAATTTATACAGGTTTCTTAATCTCTACAGCTCTCATCCTAGAACATCACCAGTATTTCTTGTGTGGACTACTACAGTAACATGCTAATTGGTTCTTCCACTTCTACTCCTATCTTCTTCCAGTGTATTCTCCACAAGCAAGTAGGAGCTCTTTGTAAAACAGAAGCAACAATCACTCTCATGACTTAAAACCTTCAGTGATTTACCATTATGCTTAAAAAAATATAATTAACTATGAACCACATCTACTACTTCTACCTCCTCTCCTGTTTCTCTCCTTTATGTCTGCTCCAATCCATCATAATTTTCTCTTATCAATTCCTTGAACATGCCCAGATCTTATTAGTCACAAAATATGCTTTTGATTATGAATTATGATAGTAGGAAGATCAACATTAATAAGAATAGCAATAACTAATATTTTTAAAAAGATGTTATTTATTTATTTGACAGAGAGAGACACAGTGAGAGAGGGAACAAGCAGGGAACACAAGCAGAGGGAGTGGGAGAGGGAGAAGCGGGCCCCCCGATGAGCAGGGAGCCCAATGTGGGGCTGGATCCCAGGACCCTGGGATCATGACCTGAGCTGAAGGCAGACGCTTAATGACTGAGCCACCCAGGCGCCCCTTAACTAATATTTTTTAAAGATTGATGTATTCATTTTAGAGAGAGAGAGTGGGGGTAGGGGCAGAGGGAGAGGGAGAGAGAGAATCTCAAGCAGACTCCCCACTGACCATGGAGCCTGATGTGGGGCTTGACCTCACAACCCTGAGATCCTGACCTGAGCCAAAACACTTAGCTGACTGTGCCACCCAGGCACCCCTATTTTTGAATGCTTACTATGTACCAGTCACTGTCCTCAGCATTGTACATATTTTAATACTTTTAGTACTTACAATGAAATACAGACTGTTACTAGGTCCATTGTATAAATGAGGAAACCAAGGCTCAAAAAGAAGCTAGTAACTGTTGGATACAGGATTTTAATCCAAGTGATCTCTTCCTGAGCACAATGTTACTTTCCTTCTTAAATAGTGCTCTCCCCGCTTGGTCTTCTCCTTTCTTTTGTGTTTCAGCGGTTGACTCCTCTCACCATTTAATCCCCCAAGCTTAAGTGTCACCATCCAAGGAAGATCATTGTATCCAAGCAGCCCTATTCCCCCACCCCATTTTCTTCCATCACAACATTCTGTTTCCTTCACAATGCACATCACCATTTGTAATTATATGTTTATTGTTTATTTCTTTACTGTATAGCTCAAAGGTTGGCAAACTTTTTCACTTAAGGGCCAGAGAATAGATATTTTTGGCATTTTGAGTCGTATGTTCTTCATTGGGAGTGCTCAATTCAGTTATTCTAGCAAATGGGCATGGCTGTGTTCCAACAAAACTTTATTTACAAAAAGAGATGGTGGGCCAGGTTTAACCCATGGGCCATAGTTTGCCAACCCCTGACTTAGTTCCTCCATTACACTGTAGATGCTATTAATTTTGGAAATCTTGACTACTTTCTTTATCAGGCATCCTCAGTGGTCAACACAGAACCTGGAATGAATGGCAATACTGCATTTCACGATCCTTTTTTAAAGGGCAGCCTTGTCTCACTTCTACACTCACAAAATCGACATTAACATTTCATCTGATTTTATTTTAGAAACAATGTGATTTATCAATATGAAGAGGGGGACATGGAACAGGTTATAGATGAAGGAAGGAGAGAAAGAGCCCTAGAAAATTCATCAAGATGTGCTGCCAACATCTCTCTTCTACATTAAAAAAGAAGTGACATTAGTCATTAGCAGCTGAATCTTTTCTTCTGAAAAGAATTGAAGTGGATTCCTTTATGATTGCATTTTTTTGTTTTGTTTTGTTTTGTTTTATTAGAACCCTTTTTAGCCTAGAGATTTTCCTTTTATCTGGCATATATTCAGTTTTGGACAGACGAAAATCAATGACTCATTTTGCACCTGGGAGGGACAGCGTGGTAGACACATCTGGGTAGGGTAGTAGGATTTAGAGTATGGATGAGTTCTCTGAAGAATCAGAGTACAATAGAATGTGTTTAATAACATCATATTCTGATCATTCCTCATCATCTTTCAGCTGATGTGTCACTAATGGATTTGCTGGATAATCTTCTACTTCCTATGGTAAAGATGCTCTAAGAACGCATGGCCCCTATTGGCAGTTGTTTATGTCTTATGTTCATGTAAATCTCTTTTTAAATCTCCAAACACCATGGAGGGGCAACTAGAGAGCTGGAAACAATTCCAAATTCATTAAATCTTATACATTTAAAGCATTGTTTTTTTGTGGGTTTTTTGTTTATTTGTTTTGTTCTGTTTTTAAAGAGAATTGCTTGACTTGAAAAACTTGGGAAACTTGAAAGTTTCAAGTTTCAATATAAAGAAACTATCAAGTGCAAGACTTTAAGGGTAAAGGGGAAGCATCTATCATAATAATCCCCAACATTTTGTAACTGAAACACATTTCTTTTTTTTTTTTTTTCCAATATCAAACTGGTATTTATTTCACTTGAGGATGATGGAAATTTCCAAAAAGCACGACTATGAGAAGATAAAATGTCCATCCTTATATATTTTTGTATGCAACTAGTAGAATCCTAAAAAATTAGCATTTACAAAATACTCGGTAAAAATAGCTTTTAAAAGTTGCCCCGAGATGTACATAAAATCAACCCCAATTTTTCACGACAATTCATTCTCCCCTGTTATCTACAGATTCAGTTTTCTGTGCCTCTTCAGCTTTAGTTTCACCATTTTCAGATGGTGCAGTACCTTCCTTTCCAGCTTCTTGCTTTTCCTCCTTCTTCCCTTTAGCACCTTTGTTAATCTTTGTTCCCGGTTCTTTCTTAGCAGATGTTTTTCTTGGTTTAGGTTCAGGTTTGGGTGGAGCAGGTTTCGCGGACAATCTGGCAGACCGTCTAGTGGGCTCCTGTTTAGTTACTTTGGATCCATCCTTGCCCTCTGTATTCTCCGGAGACTTTCTCTTCGGCATAATGACTACGTTCGTGCAGCTAAAAAGTAAAGCAACGGGATGGAACTGCAGACACCGGCGCTGGATGCCGCCGCCGCAGCTGCTCACGCACAGGGCACCTGAAACACATTTCTGATTGTCTAAGTTGGAAAAATCTTTCCCCCATTTTCTTAAAAATAGTTTAACTTATATATTCTTTTTTAAAAATTTTTTTTATTGTTATGTTAATCACCATACATTACATCATTAGTTTTTGATGCAGTGTTCCATGATTCATTGTTTGTGCATAACACCCAGTGCTCCATGCAGAATGTGCCCTCTTTAATACCCATCACCAGGCTAACCCATCCTCCCCCCCCCCTCCCCTCTAGAACCCTCAGTTTGTTTTTCAGAGTCCATCGTCTCTCATGGTTCGTCTCCCCCTCTGATTCCCCCCCTTCACTCTTCCCCTCCTGCTATCTTGTTTTTTTCTTTTTTTTCTTAACATATAATGTATTATTTGTTTCAGAGGTACAGATCTGTGATTCAAAAGTTTTGCACAATTCACAACGCTCACCATAGCACATACCCTCCCCAGTGTCTATCACCCAGCCATCCCATCCCTCCCTAACTTATATAATCTTAACTTACAAGTGGGTAAAAGTTACTTTCATTTAGGTAACTTTGTAAACTCCTTCTGTTTCATGAAATTAAGCTGGAGTGACAAATTAGGTGTTGATACTGGGATGTTGATATCTGGGATAATTTCTTAGATCAATATGTGAGGGAAATAAATAACAGATGAATCCCCTAACCTCTAAGGTGGATTCTGGCTTGGCAAGCATCTTAGCTCATTTGGGCTGCTATAACAAAATATTGTAGCCTGGGTGGCTTATAAACAACAGAAATTTATGTTTCATAGTTCTGAAGGCCGGAAAGTCCAAGACCAAAGCACCAACAGATTCTGTGTGTGGTGGAGGCTTGCTTTCTGGTTCATTAATAGCCTTCTCTCTGCCCTTACCTGGAGGAAGGAAGGAGCTAGATCTCCAAGATTTTCTTTATATGGCACCAACCCCCATTGTGAGGGCTTTGCCCCCTGACTTAATTACCTCCCAATACTATCATAATGGAGTCAGGATTTCAACATAATGCATTTGGGGAAAGTGGGGGACAGTATGAGCACAAACATTCAGACCATAGCAGACTATTTGCACTTCCCTCCTCCCACATTCTTCGAAGAGTCTTGCCTTGACAGATGAGATGTTCTGAGTTTTTGTTGATACAGAATCAGGAGAAAAACAGTGAAGGAGAAGAACCATGTAGGATGAACTTGCAAGATTAGTTTGGGGGAGAGCAGGAGAGTAGGCTGAGGGGGAAGCTAAGGTATTTTGTGAGACCTGGGTGGGTAAAGAAAGGAAGAAGGGGTTTTAAAAGCATGGGTCTGATCACTGTAGATCTATAATTTTTTAAAGAAATTACAAGTAAAATATTGGGTTATTTTAAAGTTGTTTTCTGCCTACTGGAATTTTCTCTCTTTCATCAAGATGCTGTTCAGTGTCTTGGTATTGTGTGCACGAATGTCATAAGCATTACAGATCTGTAAACTTTGTAAGCATTACCTTCATATGCTTTAAGGCCACCTCCTCTTCTTGCATCCTCCCCATCATCTATGTTGGATAGCTACATTCATGACAGGATATAACTATTGTCCTTTTAGGCACATTACAGAAGTGTTATAGCTGCATTTCTTTTTGATCCCTATTCATAATCAAAAAATTCTGATGTAATCTGGAAAACAGGATGGCAAAAAAAGAGGCTTTCATTTGTGAGAAAACTGTACAAATTATAAAAATATATTTGACACAATTCTTCACTTTATGTAGTGGATTTCAGACGGAGTGATGTTTTTAAGTTTCTGATATCATGATTTTTTTTTTTTCTGAGTGAAAATGCTTGGTTCATAGAATCTAGACTACACATTGGATATTACTCTAAATACTGATTAAAGAAAATACCTGTAACATAAACTGAGGAACTGTGATATTGATCACAGTTTGAATTCAAATGGTTTTAGAAATATTGTGAATGGATCTCTCATGATTTCTTTTCTTTTTTTTTTTTTTAAAGATTTTATTTATTTATTTGAGACAGAATGAGAGAGAGAGAGAGAGCACATGAGAGGGGGGAGGGTCAGAGGGAGAAGCAGGCTCCCTGCCGAGCAGGGAGCCCGATGCGGGACTCGATCCAGGGACTCCAGGATCATGACCTGAGCCGAAGGCAGTCGCTTAACCAACTGAGCCACCCAGGCGCTCCTCTCTCATGATTTCTTATCAAGACCCTCTCTCTCACTTTCTTCATTTTCCTCCTAGAAGACTTCCTTTTGTATTAAAGGAAAAGGTCAATTAGTCAAGAACAACAATAAACAATGTTGCCAGTTAGACTCAAAAGCAACAACAAACAATGGCCATGGAACCAAGAGCCATTACCATTGGTTTGATGGATATTAACAATAATTGTCCAGGTCAGAGAAGAACTTAGTGTGCAGACACAGTATGAGTTCAGTCCTGGTGGATCTTGTGGTTTTCAGGCATCCAAGTCATTACATTAGAGTGGAATCAGCATGAGATCCTATCAATAAAATCTCTAAAAAACTGAAGAGTTTAAACACTTGCAGCAGGAAATAAAACCTTTGCCTGTATGAGACAGAATGGAAGAAAATGACACTAGCCATTGAGTTTAGTGGCAGTTTCTTTTGAGTTGCAAATTAAAAAGCCATTTTTTTCTAGCATATTCAGTATTGGTCAGACACTCGTAAGAGCTATTCTGCCCAAATGGTGGCTGACTTACAAAAGGTTATAGAGAGGTTGTTCTCACTGGAGAAATGAAGATGTCTCAAATGCTTTTCTGATTCTGACATTATGTGGATCTCAGAGATGGTGAGAATTATTTATGTGTTAGGCAAAAGGTCTTTGATTTAGATATATTTTTCCAAATGAAAAACTAAGACGCAATAGCTCAAAGGACTTTAATGCCTTTTCAGGTGATGTAAGATCTAAGATATATTTTACATGGCAAAAACTTAAAATTGGTAATTTAGAGGGACTGTGGAAAAGGGTTTCTGAAATTAGAATTTGCCTAGATAATTCAGGGTATATGATAAATGCGCCTGCCTGAAGGGGTACTATATTCTATTTGTACTGTACTGGAGTGATCTTATCTAAAACATTATGCCTGGAGGCTCAAATATTCCTCTCTAGTAAAATGCTATTACTACCTTTTCTACCTAAAGAACCTGAAATTTCCACTTGTTGGGTCTTGGACCCACTAACAGAGGTTCTTCCCTCATAAGGTCTTACTCAAGTTTTGCATGTTAGAGAACTTTCCTGTAGCTTTTCCTTTTGGCCCAGTTTAGAATACCAGATGAGCTGATCCCACCTTAGTTCCTGAAGGGGAGGGAACAGGTACAGAAGAGAACTGCAAGGAGGAAAGAAGCTGAGGAGCCACAAGTCCATCCATAGGTGTATATTATTACTGTAGCTGTCCAGGGAGGGTAGCCACAGACCTTGGCACCTAAGAGACTTTGGGAGATGCCAGGAATAATAAGGATGTTGGTTTTGCTTGATGAACAGGGTAGTTGCCAAGGTGAGGTGAGACAGAAGTCCTGAAATTTAGGCTTGAGGTAGTTAAGAAGGGCCTCAAATGGTAGGAAGTTTTAGTTGTCCTGTGGACAAGAGCATAGGGAAAGGGAAGTCAGTGGAAGGGCAGAAACACGGCAGTGATCAAATTTATGTTTTAGATACATAATTCTGATTAGCAGAGGTGGGGGTGGGGGTGGACCAACGAGGGAGGGGCTTGGATTAATGAGGGAGGGGGCTAAAAATTCAATGTGAGAGGGCCTGAACAAAGTCAATATTGGTGGGGATGGAAAAGATAGATTTTCCTCAAGTTTTGAGGGAGAAATAATGAGGATCAGATGGGCAATATGGTTTCAACAACTGCAGTTTTCTCTAATAAGCTGGGTGATGTAGGGAGAAGGACACAGTAGGTAAACACAGGCATTTACAAAATACAGTTCCTACTTCATCTATAGCTCCCACTTTAGGCTAAGATGGAAAAATTGAAATCAACCAAGAACAGAAAAATGGTTTGGCTCTTTGTAGACTAGCAGTTCTCAACTTTAGAGAGCATCAGACTTACCTGGAGGGCTTATTAAAACACAAATTGTTAGGCCCCATCCCCAGAATTTCTGATTCAGGGAGTGTAGGGTGGGGTCTGAGAATCTGCATTTTAAACAAATGCCAAGGTGATGCTGATGCTCCTTCTCCAGGGACCACACTTTGAGAACCACTGTCCTAGATCACTCTTTTAAGCAGTGATTTTCAATACATCCCTTCTGGCAGAGGTGATATATCATGATCTCTAGTGACTGAGGGAGTTAGAAAAATAAATGGACGGAGCTTAGTCCCATTTGCCCAATACATTTTTCCCCAGGACCTTTTAAGTTAGCCTAGATCATGAGTTATTTTAGATTGTAAAGCCTGGTCCTGTTTTTTGTAAGATCACCATTAATTTCCTTCTATCTAAATCCCAAGGCATTGCCTCTGTGATTCTCAAGGAGTAAAATCATTTAATCTTTGCCTTGTAATTTATCAGGCAACATTTTAAAGCCAGAGATCCCAGTAGTAGTTCCATAAATCTATGTCTGGAACATTTATAATTGTAACCATTTAAGAACTATATTGTTTATCTAATATCAGCTGCTTTTGTTACATCTGTCATTATAGGTCACAAGCCCAGAAATACACCATTCCCATTTAAATGTGGTTCCTTTTCTCTTAATATTCACTGTAGGGCACTTCAATAAAATTTTTAAAATGTGGTATCTTCCAGGGAGTTGAGAAAAGAACCAAAATAAATATGGAAGTAATGATAATGTTAACACTGGAGCAGATTTCATGACTGAGAAGCATTAATTGTCTTAGTACTTGTTACAGGGGAAGTAAGGTAGAAGAAACATGCATATGGTGAGATAATTATTGTGTTTCCATGAACAATCAGAGACATTTGAGGATGAGAGAAAGGAAACTTACAAGGAAATGGAATAATACTGTTGATGATCGTTATGGAGGCTGCT